GATATGTTTCTGAGTTTATATCCATTGGCATAATTTTATTTCTTTTTATGCTTTTATCTTTAAATCCCATATCAGCATTGAGTGTGGTTTACATACACAGCATTGCAATTTTATAATATTCCATATTTATCTACATATTAATAATTACTTAAGAATTTTATATGTTCACATGCTTTATTGCAGCTTTCTAGTAGCCCTTTGTTTCATTTCAGGTAGAATTTAGAATTTTAGGATTCTCGTATTTCATTTCAGGTACGTTACTACTGATGAACTCCTTAAGCTTTTATTTATCTAAAAATGCTTTTGAAATTTATCTTTCATTTTTTAAAATTTGTGTGTGTGTGTGTGTGTGTGTGTGTGTGTGTGTGTGTGTGTGTAGATATGTCTTGCACATATAGAGGTCCTAGAGCAGTATCAGATGTCCTCAATCACACTCTACTTTAACCTTAGCTTTGGGATGACATCTCCCAATGATTTCACTAGCTTCACCGGCCAGAGAATACATGGGATCCTTTGGTCTCTGCCTCCACAATGCTGGAATTATAGGCATATACTGCACAGCCTACCCTTATTTATTTATTTATTTATTTATTTATTTATTTGTTTGTTTATTTATTATTTATTTTTAATGTAAAAATTAGAGTCAATCATTTCATTTTGCATATGTAAGTTTTGCCTGTCTTTATGCATGTGCATCATGAATTGGTTTGGTACCCACAGAAGTTAGAAGAGGGCATCAGATCCACTGGCATTGGAGTTATGGATGTTTGTGAACCACCATGTAGTTGTTGAGAATGAAACCAAGGTCCTCTGCAGGAACAAGCAGTCTCGGCTGATAGCCGTCTCTCCAGCTGAGGCCCAGCTTTTAAAGTGAGTTTTAGAGATCCAGTGTCAGGGCTTCATGCTGGTGCAGCGAGCAGTTACCCTCTGAACCATCTCCATAACCCCTCTCCTTCGTTTCTGGAGGGCATTTTTGCCTGGCATATTATTATTGTTTTGAATGTATCATGGTCCTACCTGTGCTGCTTCTGCTTCCTGACTCACTGGCATTCTCATGGCCACTGTATGAAATCATGACTTCTCCATGCTTTACGATTCGTTCTCTGCTTTGCTTTCAAATGTTTTATCACAGCAAATCTCAGTTTCAGTCTGTTTAGGTCATTCTTTCAATCTTAATTACTTGCAGTTTATTCAATTTCTTTGTTTTTCTGTTTTAGTTCTCAAATGGAGATGTTTGGACGTCCACATCATGTCTTAAATACGTTCTCCATCTGTTCTCTCTTCTTTCTGTTGCACCCATAAACCAAGGTCTACATTCATCATTTTCACATTGTTCCTTCAGCATTGATTCTTCTTTCTGTTTTAAGTCTACTGTTAAGTGCATCCACTGGATTTTTTTTAATTAAGAATTTTTTATTCATTTTACATACCAATCACAGATCCCCCTCTTCCTCCTTCCACCCCACCAACCCATGAGACATTCCCTCCTACAAGAAGGTAAGGCCTCTCATGGGGAGTCAGCAGATTTCTAAGTGAAGTCAATGCACTTTCTAAATCAAGAATTTATATTTATCTGTTTTTTGTTTGTTTTTTCGTGTGGTGGTTTGAAAGAGAATGTCCCCCATAGGCTCATATATTTGAAGGCTTGGTTCTCAGTTGTTGGAACTGTTTGGGAGAAATGATCAGAGAGGTGTGGCCTTGTTGAAGGAAATGTATCACTGGGAGTGGGCTTTGAAGTATCAAAAGCCCATGCCAAGCCCAGTTGCTCTTTCTCTGCTTACATCTGTTGTGGTAATATATTGTATACCCTAATAAAGCTTGCCTGAGTATCAGAGGACAGAGCCAGCCACTAGATTAGACATAGAGGCCAGGCAGTGGTGGCACACACCCTTAATCCTATCACTTGGGAGGCAGAGGTCCATCTGGATTTCTGTGAGTTCAAGGCCACACTGGAAACAGAGCCAAACAGTGGTGGCACATATTTTTAATCCCAGTACTGGGAAGCACACACACCTTTAATCCCAGGAAATGACAACAGGGCAGAGAAAGGTATATAAGGCATGAGGAAACAGAAACTAAAGCAGTTCAGCTGAGACCCTTTAGGGTGAGGAAACAGGATCCGCTGAGGAGTTGATGAGGTGAGGCTGGCTGTGGCCTGCTCTGCTTCTCTGATCTTTCAGCTTTCATGCTGAAACCTGGGTTTTTATTAAAAGACCATCTAAGATTCAAACAACAATCTGTGGATCAGATAGATGTAAGCTCTCAACTATTGTTCCCGTGCCATGCTACGGTGCTACCACCATGCTCCTCACCATGCTGGTCATGAACTCACCTTCTGAAGCAAGTCCCCAATTTAAATGATTTTTTTTTCTATAAGTTTCCTTGATCATGGTGTCTCTTCACAGCAATAAAACCAAAACACTTTGCAGTTCTAGCACTTTCTTAGTATTCTCACTTGCTCTTGCATTTTTGCTGATAGGCCATATAGGTGGTTGTGCTTTCTCTTAGTATATTGAACTTCCTTGGTTATTACTTGTGTAGTAAATTAATAGATCTTCGTCTCTTCTTGCTAAGTTTTGAGATATTCAGTTTACTTATGTATTTATTTGGTTTTGGATTGGTCCACGTTTCCATTGTTCTTCATATCTTTACTGTTTTGATGGTGTTACACATTTGGGAAAACATCTCCCTTTTACATTATTCATGGATTCTTTACACAAGAGAAGAATTTTCCCAACGTGCTCAGTTAGAGATTCTTAGGGCCTTTCAAACATTTGAGGGAGTGTGTTTTCTCTGGATCTGGGGCATCATTTCTCAGAGTGCTGTGCTGGCTTCTTTTCAGGCACTTGCCTTCTTTCTCTCTTTCTGGGGTCAGACTGTCACTGTCATAAGGCAGAACTTCCAGGCCTGCAGCAAGTTGCTGAGCCCCGTGGTTCTCCTCAGCAGCTAGGTACACAGTGTTCCTGTTACTCCAGCACTCCGAGTCAGACAGGCAGGAAGCAGTCTACCAGGCAACTTCCCAGAAGTCTGAATATCAGCCACATGTTCCTCAGTTTCATTTCCTCTTGCCAAAGAAGCCAGTGATGCAGTATTTTCTCTGACTATTGAGTGTCTTCTGGGTGCAGCAAATCCTGAACTCTTGTCACTAGTCTCCAGGCATCTACAGTCATGCCCCTGCTACCCAGACCTCTTAATTGGGTGAGATAAAGCCAGTCTTTGGCAGCCCTCCCAAACCCAGAATGTTGACTTTTCCCATTCTTTTCCACCTGGTGGAGAAGCCGGAGGGTAACTTTTACTCTCCACTGCTCCATGATAGACTAGTGTGGTAAAAAAATTGTCATGAGTGATACAAGATGATTCCCCAATCCAATACACCACCCATTTCAGTAGGTCTGCTCTTAGTTTTGAACATGCATAGGGTACTGAAACTTTGAAAACAGCTTTGAGAGATCTTCTAAGGGCTTTAATTGTTAGGTAAGTGTGTTCATGGGGAATGAGGTCTCAGGTTTTCTTTTCCACTGTTTTCTATGAAGTAAGCTTTCAACAAAAGACTAGTTCTGTTAAAGAAGAGGAAAGGAAAAATATCTGAAGGTAGGACAAGGGGAGATTTTTTCAGAAAGTGTAGGTGTGGGGGCATGTTTTGTGCTGTTGAGAATAAATTAACAGACTAATAGACCGATTATGTATACAAGAGCAGTGACTTTTAAACCTCTGTGTGCATTAGGAACATATGGCAAGCCTGTGGAAACACAGATTGCTGCACAGAAGGCTAGAGTTTCTAGTTCAGGAGGTGGTGGAGGCTGTATTTCTGACCGGCTCCCAGGTCATCCTGACTCAGCACATCCTAATGAGGCTCCTGCTCTAGAAACTGAAGAAGAAAAAGAAGAAAGAAAACTGGAGGCGCAGAACATGAAATTTGGACTTTTCTCTCTGCTTTTTGCTTTCTTTAGAACACTAAGGGACAAGGTAGTCAAGTCGTTTTTGTTGTTGTTTTTCCAGTCTCCCTGTCTACCAAGGAATGCCTTGACAAGGTTCTGTAACCCAGGCTGGACTTGGACTGGCATTGCTCTTGTCTTACCTTCCAGCGTGACTGGGGTTATGATGAGCTCGATCACTTGGCAAGAACGTTTTGTTTCGCAGTAGAAATGTTAGTGTTGGATTGATGGAGAGCCCTAATTTCAAACATTCTTTTCGATCATGTGGGATTGTCCCTGTTGCTCTCATTTCTTCCCATGTCAGATGTAGGATCTAAACTCACTGGTGCATTTTATACCAGCTCACGATATTATTGTACTCACACCATTCCGTGTTTGCCCATGCTTGTTGGCGTTTGTTCACAACTTTTTTCAGGGGCTTGTAAGGTCCTAATTTTCTACTCAGGCAGCAGTTTAGAGCAGGTATAGACATTTTTCTGGCGGTTTGAGTGAGACTTGAGGGGAACTCTGAGGACATGGGCCTCATCAGCTTGTCAACAGAATTCTAGCATCAGCTACATTTTAAGTTTTTCAGCAATTCACACAACAGGGAAACTGTGCCCCTGGTAAGCCCACTTGAGTGCTACAAGTTCTGAAACCATGGTAATAGCCCAGGGGTTTTGACAGAATCTGAGTGTTGCCTACATAATTCACCATAGGAAGATTATGTTAGCTAAAAAAATAAAAATAAAAATATAAACACAGTAAACCTGTGATGTGTAAAGAAAAATGTCAACATTTTTCACACTTTAAAACTTATCTCATCAGGAGAATCTTTTTTTTTCTTTAGAAAAATAAGCAACATTTGGATTAAAAAAAAAAATCCCCGTCTATTGAAGCAGCATCTGCTGAGGCTCCTGTCTTTTCTTGTCAGGTCTGCTTGAGTTAAGTTCCCAGTGTGGGAAAGTCAGCTCCAAGCTCTTTCAGGGTCTGAGAGTATAGAATGTATTGAACACTCAACCGCAGTTAACTGAAGTGGAAATGAAAGGGATCCATTCTGAAGACTTTTCCTCTCTCCCTCTCCAGGTTCTTTGATGTGAAGAAAGAATCTCAGCTTCCAGAGTGGTGATAATGGAATTTCTTTTCCAGTCAGACTCTTCATATATAATCCAACCATGTCATAATCCTTCTGACTTCCTTCCGACTCCCTGATGCAGGCCGCGCGCTAACGACAGAGCCTGCACTGAGGAGACACTGTTGGAGAGAGAAAACGAGCCAAGTGTTTCATCTCATAATAAAAGCAACTAAACCATGTTGGGGTTGGTGGAAGATAAAAACTATAAAGTCCTATTTTATAGCTCCTCTCATTACTTAGCTATACAATAAGAAACTCTTTAGATTTCTTTTGAGGAGAGAATGTATACATAATAATAATAATCTGTAAAACTATAGCTATGTGCATTAAAATAGAACATGCTTATATTACAAACAAATTTAATGATTACATGCTATCAGTCATGTTATATATCAACTGTAAAGTATATTTGAGCAGGTAAAATAATATCTAATGAAATAGCTAAAAGGCCACTTAAAATCAGCTTCAAAACAGTGCATTTATCCGTGAAGATCTGAAGATAAATGAGTTTGTTATTCATGACATCTAATAAGTTATCCTGTCAATACTCACAGCATAATTGGATAGAGTACAATTTGCATGGAAAAATAAGAGATTAAAAGATTCCAAAACCAAATTTAGTTATTTCTATAAATATTAGCATCAATCAAAGCTTTTAAGGTTAAGACTAACAGAGTTGAGAGGATCAATTAAAAAGTATTAAACCTTTTTGAAAACTATAAATCCCATTATAACTCAGCTGTTTCTAATTGAGCATCTATTGTGTACAAAATTCTCTGAGAGGACAAGAGTTTCAATGCAATGGATCTGAATTCATTGGTGCAGGTGATGGCAGCTGAATCCAAGGATGAGAAAGGTAGGGTTTGGCCACTGAGAGGTGAGGTAAGGGCCTCTGTCATTAGAAGCAGCCACAGTTCTGCTTCGTGGAGGATGCAGAGTGTGAAGATAGAGAGTGTGGCTTATGCAGTTCGAAAGAAAGGGCTGGGGTACCACTTCGACAGGGTAAGAGGAATAGAGATTACGAGATAAAAATATGGCCCAGGAGTAGTACTAATGAGACTATTTCTCTTCTTCATACTTACAGAGACAAAAGTGACTGTCATCATTACTATATATTTAAACATTTCTATTATCTATAAGTCATACTAGTATCTATGATTTTTATATGATCCACTGAAGAGACCAGTTATGATTGGTGGTATTCCAGTATTACAGATAAAGACAATGTTTTGAGAGGGAGAGAGAGAAATTACTTATTCATAGTCACATATCTAGAAAATATGAATATGCATGCTGTGGATATCACTCTGGGTAAATAAAATGCTGATTGGCCAGTAGCCAGGCAGGAAGTATAGGCAGGACAAAAAAGAAGAAAATTCTGAGAAGTGGAAGGCTGAGGCAGAGAGCCGCTGCCAGCTGCCACCATGGAAAGTGAGATGTAAGGTACCGATAAGCCATGAGCCACGTGGCAACTTATAGATTAATAGACATGGGTTAACTTAAGGTATAAGAACAGCTAGCTAGAAGCCTGCCATGGCCATACAGTTTATAAATAATACATTTCTGTGTGTTTACTTGGTTGGGTCTGAGTGGCTGTGGGACTGGCGGGTAAGAGAGATTTGTCCTGACTGTGGGCCAGGCAGGACCAGAAAAACTCTAGCTACATGTGCAGGACAATTTCCTGAGGCTCAGAACTATTCAATCATGTTTCTTCTCTCTTTATATAGTGAAGTGCAGGGAACGCAGTTACTGGAGTCTGATCTCCCATCACCTGAGGAGTCCACTGTCCCGGTGTTCAGCAGGTACAGCTACTGGGACAATTTTTATCATTATTTCTTCTCTTCTTGTGTTCATTTTGTCTCTTTTGAACATAAATTTTTCCCCATTTTAATTTTGTTATTTTCAAGATGAAATATATATTCTAGGGTAAGTTTGCAAGATATAGAAAACAACAACAAAAAGATCTTTAAATACTTTCATTAATATATACATATATGTATGAATGTATGTATGTATATGTGTATCTAGTTATAGCTATATCTATCTATATCTATGTATAGATATAACTTTAATACTCTATAACATACACATTATTATCTAAAGAGGTGATCACATTTCTGGGGGCTATAAACTGGTGATTAATCTTGGTACAAAAAGTAATTTTAAGCAGAGTTTATCAGGTATGAACCAGAAGGATGAAATTGGAAATGTCAGATCTCATCTGACTCTTACAAAAGTCTCTTTTCCCAGATTCAAAATGAGAGAATTGTCACGGTTTTACAACTGATATTTCCCCCCATTTGTCTTTTATAAGCCAACTTAGAAGCTAAGATTAAGTTTTTACTAATCCAGAAGCCTTCTTTCCTCTTTAACTTCAGTTTATTTCAAGAATGACTCCTAGAGAGTCTGTGACCAGCATAGTCATCCCACCCACATGTATTAGTCTTTCTGTACTGCTATAAAGAATAAATCAAACTAGGTACCAGGAAAGATGGACTATGGTCTGCTTCTGTGTTAGCAAGTGAAGAAGAGAGTCAGAGTAAGAAAAAAAAATAAACATTTTCCCTAAAATAGATAAATAAAGGAATAGTTTCAGAAATCTACAAAGAAAGTAAAAAAGATACTAGGAAAGAGGCGAAAATGATGCACAACACAGAAACAAAAGCTGAACACAGCCGCGGCTACTAAGTATTTGGCTGAAGGAGGTGAGTTGCTTCCAAAGTAAAAGCTAGAAGAAAGATGGACAGTACTGCCTCAGAACAAGCCTACAGCCTTCAGCAGCCTTAATCCATCTGTGGGTTTGATAATACAGTGATTGCTCCAGCAGACAAGACAGCAACAGAGAGAAATCCCATTTGTCAACGTTATGACTGGGAGAGCAGCTGCTGGGTGCCTTCTTGAGAGGTAATGTATTGCTACCCTAGGGATATGAGGTCACAGAGCAACAGATCAAGGAGCTTGAAGTTGACCTTCTATACCCTCTTGGAGAAGGAAAGCACAGAGAAGCAGTTGTGGCAAACAGGAGTGCCCAAATGATAAGGAAACTTTACAGGCAATACGAGGCAATCGTAGGTGGAAAAGTGCACAGGGAGACATAGTCTGCCCTTGGAAATAAGAACAGATCTCAGTAGCTGAGGATTACCCTGGGTTTGATAGTTTGAGCCTGAGTCAAATGGGTTGATCAAACTCCAGAGCCACCTACCGGTCCTTTACTAATGTATATGATACCCAAAGCTGCATCCCTCTATTGGAATGATTCATATTCAGGTCTTGAATGTAGGAAGGCAGGTCCTTCCTTGTACCGATCTCAGACCTGTGGTTGCTTCACGTAACTATAATCTACTTGGGAGACACTTGTCAGCGACAACTTCAGCCAACTCAGGGGGTCTGAGGAGTTGTGAGAGGGTGAAAGACTGCCCAGCTCACAAACTGCAGAACTAGATGTGGTCAGCAGAGCTCCCCACACAATAGGAAGGAAAAGAACTGCAGTGGAGTGCTCTCCATTCTAGTGGATGTCAGACATTCTGTCTGAGGTAGACTCAACAGCCTAAACCAAAGGAAAGACTGTGCTCTGGAACTTCCTTGCCCCCACCATGAATATAACTTCAATGTTCCAGTTTTCAAGGACTCCAAAGAAGCTGCTACCACACTGTACTTTTGCTCCTTTTTTCCTTACCCCTTCTTTCCCTAGGTGCTTCTCCCATTTTTTGCTACACACTTAGAAGAGTTTCAATTGTATTTCTAAAATGGTTTTACTATTCCCCTTCATAGATTTACCTAATTTTATGTATGTATTATTCCAGGAATAGGTAGCTAAAGAGAATTCATTTGTCAATAACAACAACAAAAGCTTGGAAGAAATGTAGAAACCAGCATATGCACAAACTATGACACAGAAATGTGAGCATCATGAAAAAGCAGTTCAAGTCCTCAAGGACAGAAATAAGTAGAAGTCAAGTGAAGATTTCAACAGTTTTCTGGTAAAAATGATCAATTGTGTGAGAGCATAAAAACAAGTGGATGACTTCATCCAGGGAAAATGGAACTGATTAAATAAAGGACAGTGGAAAGGACCACAAGTTGTGGTGATATATTGTGTACCCCAATTAGGCCTTCCTGGGGATCAGAGGACAAAGCCAGCCACTATATTAAACATAGAGGTCAGGCAGTAGTAACACATGCCTTTAATCCTAGCACTTGGGAGGCAGAGATGCATTTGATCTCTGTGAGTTCAAGGCCATACTGGGAACAGAGCCAGGCATGGTGGCACATGCCTTTAATCCCAGCACCAGGAAGTAAGTAAGATGGCAGGGCACAGAAAGGTATATAAGGCTTGAGTAAACAGGAAGTCTCTCTCTTAAGGCTGAGGATTTCGTAGAGGTAAGATTGTGGTTGGCTTGTTTTGTTTCTCTGATCTTTCAGCTTTTGCCCCAATATCTAGCTCTGGGTTTTTTTTTTTTTTTATTAATAAGACAGTTTAGCAATTCATGTTTCAACAAGTAGTTGAAGGAGGAGTCCAGAAGGAGAAAGGACATCAGGATAGAGGACAAATTGTTAAAATACTACACTCAACATCAACAGGGTCAGACAGACAGTGAGCATCTCTACAGAGTCTAAGAACTCTGATATATGACCAAAAGATCAAACTGAAGAGGTCATAAGAAGTAGGGCAGAATGCAGATAAATGGCAAGGTGAAGGTACAGAAAATCCAGTCAATGGCATTACAGCTGAACATTTCCTGAAACCAGAGAAAGAACCAGGCATTTAAGCACAAGAAGCATTTATAACCCCGTGAGTGTCTGCATAACATACAGCCAAGATGTTAGAAATTCAAAGTAAAGAAACTGTGTTAAAAGTTGTAAGGGACAGATACCAACTAACCAACAAAGCCAGAAACATCAGAATATCATGAAATCTATGGCGATCAACTCCAAAAGACAGGAAAGCATGGTGGAATGATAGTTCATGTGTTGAAGGTATAACTGTCAACCAAAATTGCTATATCCGTCAAACCTTTCTTTTGAAATTAAAGGAGAAATAACATTTTAAGAAAGTACAAACTAAGGCTGCTCTTGACCATCAAGCCAATACAACATACTTGAAGTGATATTATACACAGAGGAGGAAGGGAAACATTCTCAAACTAAAAATGACAACAGTGAGGAAAAAATACACTTCATGAATGGAATACATGAACAAAAGGGAGCTAGGAGTGAATCCATCATATTTCTCATAGCCAACCAGAAAACCACCAAAACTCATAGATAAGAAAGTAAAGAACAAATACTAATCCAGGCAGCCAGGTAAACAACCAAAGAATTACCAGAATGAGCAAGCATCTCAAACATTATAGTTAATAATCACCTTTAATATAAATGGTCCCCAATTATCTATGAAGAGACACAGGCTTTCTTATCAGATTAAAATATAGGTCACAGGCCTGACATAATTATGCCAGTCCACATTCCAGAATGGAGGAGAGAGGATGGAACTCAGGAGCCTCTACCCATATCTGAAGAGATTTTGACAGCTGATGGCTTTTGGAGAAGAATCAGTCAGTTTTCTTTAAGGGGTGTCCCCTGGTAGGTTAGTATGCTTTCACGTCTATCAGTGTATGAGTGGCAGTAGCTGGACATGGTCATAAAATAACAACAAAATGACAAAAATACAGGAAGTGTGTGAATGAGGATTAATCTGGGAGGAGTTTAGGAGTATGAGTGACTATGATCAAAATACACTGTCTATGGTTATGAAATTCTCATAGAAGTACAAAAATTATATTTTTAAAAACAAACAACAAGCAAGGAAAAAAAAAAACTAGATCCAAGTATTTGTTGCCATCAAAATAAATACCTGTCTGCTAAGGTCACTAACAGAGTGAGAGTTAAAAGATGAAAGACAGAAAACAATCTTTCAAGTAAACAAAAACTTAAAATAAGCTTGATGTTGTTATTGTAATGTCTGATACAGTAGAGTTTAAATCAAAATTAGTCAGATGAGATAAAATATATTACTAAATATTAATTAAGTAAATTTATGAAGAAGATTTTTTTCAAATATATGAATCATACATTATGGCTTCCAATTCATACAAAAATTAAATGTACATCAATTGCCAGATAGGTTCTAAAACTGTAGTCATCGATGATTTTAACATTGATCTAAAAGATAAAGAATATACATTTCTCATAAATTAAAAATAGAATTATGTATGACCCAGCTATATGACTCCATACTTGAAGAACTTTAAATCAAGAGATGCATGAGAAAGCATGTTTATTCCTGCATGATTTACGATATCCATTATGCCCAGCAACAGCAAATGTAGTACATATACACAGTGAAATTTTAGG